GGCGCTTGTTGCTGGGTCGGGTGGGGGCTGCGTTCATTAAACGCCGCCTTTCCTTGTCGATCTTGTTTATCATATTCTAGCTTTACTGGTTGAGGAAGACATTTCTGACTGACATTCTATTTGTACTGGTTGAGGAAGACATTTCTGACTGACATTATAGCTGTACTGGTTGAAGAAGACATTTCTGACTGACATTCTAGCTGTACTGGTTGAGGTAGATTTTCTAACTTACATTCAAGCTTTACTGGTTGAGGAAGACATTTCTGACTTATATTCTTGCTGTACTGGTTGAGTAAGACATTTCGGACTGAACTTTTGACTGTACTGGTTGAGGAAGACATTTTGAACTGACATTCACGCTGTACTGGTTGAGGATGACATTTCTGATTGACATTCTAGCTTCACCCGGTTGAGAAAGACATTTCTGACTGATATTCTAGCCGGTTGAGGAAGACATTTAGGACTGACATACTAGCTTTATTGGTTTAGGTTGACATTTGGGACTGATATTCTAGCTTTACTGGTTCAGGCAGACATATGGGACTGACATTCTAGCTGTATTTGTTGGGGATGACATTTCGGATTGACGTTCTAGCTGTAGTGTTTGAGGAAGACAATTCGGACTGACATTTTACCTGTACTGGTTGAGAATGACATTTCGGATTGACATTCTAGCTGTACTGGTTTAGGATGACATTTCAGACTGACATTCCAGCTTTACTGGTTGAGGAAGACATATGGGACTGACATTCTAGCTGTTCTGGTTGAGGATGACATTTCAGATTGACAGTCTAGTTTTACTGGTTGAGGAAGACATTCGGTCTGACATTTTAGCTGTAGTGGTTGAGGAAGACATTTCGGACTGACATTCTAGCTTTACTTGTTGAGGATTACATTTGGGACTGACATTCTAGCTGTGCCGGTTGAGGATGACATTTCGGACTGACATTCTAGCTTTACTGGTTGAGGATAACATTTGGAACTGATATTCTAGCTTTAATGGTTGAGGAAGACATATGGGACTGATATTCTAGCTGTATTTGTTGAGGATGACATTTCGGATTGATATTCTAGCTATAGTGGTTGAGGAAGACATTTGGGACTGATATTCTAGCTGTACTGGTTAAGAATGACATTTCGGATTGACATTCTAGCTGTACTGGTTTAGGATGACATTTCGGACTGACATTCCAGCTGTACTTGTTGAGGATGACATTTGGGAATGACATTCTATCTTTACTGGTTGAGAAAGACATATGGGACTGACATTCTAGCTGTACTGGTTGAGTATGACATTTCGAACTGACATTCTGTCTGTACTGCTTGAGGATGACATTTAGGACTGATATTCTAGCTTTACTGGTTGAGGAAGACATTTCGGACTGACATTCTAGTTGACTGGTTCTATCTGGCGCTTGTTGCTGGGTCGGGTGGGGGCTGCGTTCATTGAACGCCGCCTTTCCTTGTCGATCTTGTTTATCATGTTCTAGCTTTACTGGTTGAAGAAGACATTTCTGACTGACATTCTATTTGTACTGGTTGAGGAAGACATTTCTGACTGACATTATAGCTGTACTGGTTGAAGAAGACATTTCTGACTGACATTCTAGCTGTACTGGTTGAGGTAGATTTTCTAACTTACATTCAAGCTTTACTGGTTGAGGAAGACATTTCTGACTTATATTCTTGCTGTACTGGTTGAGTAAGACATTTCGGACTGAACTTTTGACTGTACTGGTTGAGAAAGACATTTTGAACTGACATTCACGCTGTACTGGTTGAGGAAGACATTTCTGATTGACATTCTAGCTTCACCCGGTTGAGAAAGACATTTCTGACTGATATTCTAGCCGGTTGAGGAAGACATTTAGGACTGACATACTAGCTTTAATGGTTTATGTTGACATTTGGGACTGATATTCTAGCTTTACTGGTTCAGGAAGACATATGGGACTGACATTCTAGCTGTATTTGTTGGGGATGACATTTCGGATTGACATTCTAGCTGTAGTGTTTGAGGAAGACATTTCGGACTGACATTTTACCTGTACTGGTTGAGAATGACATTTCGGATTGACATTCTATCTGTACTAGTTTAGGATGACATTTCAGACTGACATTCCAGCTTTACTGGTTGAGGAAGACATATGGGACTGACATTCTAGCTGTTCTGGTTGAGGATGACATTTCAGATTGACAGTCTAGTTTTACTGGTTGAGGAAGACATTCGGTCTGACATTTTAGCTGTAATGGTTGAGGAAGACATTTCGGACTGACATTCTAGCTTTACTTGTTGAGGATTACATTTGGGACTGACATTCTAGCTGTGCCGGTTGAGGAAGACATTTCGGACTGACATTCTAGCTTTACTGGTTGAGGATGACATTTGGGACTGACATTCACGCTGTACTGGTTGAGGAAGACATTTCTGATTGACATTCTAGCTTCACCCGGTTGAGAAATACATTTCTGACTGATATTCTAGCTGTATTGCTTGAAGAAGACATTATGGACTGACATTCTAGCTGTACTGGTTTAGGAAGATATTTCGATCAGACTGTTATTCTAGCTGTCCTGGTTGAAGAAGATATTTCGAATTGACATTTTAGCTTTACTGGATAAGGAAGACATTTCTGTACTGGTTGAAGAAGATATTTTGAACTGACATTCTACCTTTACTGGATAAGGAAGACATTTCTGACTGACATTCTAGCTGTAGTGGTTGAGGAAGACATTTCTGATTGACATTCTAGTTGTACTGGTTGAGGAAGACATTTTTGATTGAAATTCTAGCTTTTATGGTTCAGGAAAACATTTCGGACTGACATTCTAGCTGTACTGGTTGAAGAAGACATTTCGGACTGACATTCTAGCTGTACTGGTTGAGGAAGACATTTTGGACTGACATTCAAGCTGTAATAATTGAGGAAGATTTTCTGACTGACATTCAAGTTTCACTGTTTGAGGAAGACATTTCTGACTGACATTCTAGTTGTACTGGTTGAGGAAGACGTATGGGACTAATATTCTAGCTTTAATGGATGAGGAAGATATTTCTGACTGACATTCTAGCTTAAGTGGTTGAGGAAGACATTTCTGACTGACATTCTAGCTGTAATGGTTGAGGGAGACATTTCTGATTGACATTCTATCTGTACTGGTTGAGGAAGACATTTCTGATTGACATTCCAGCTTTAATGGTTGAGGAAGACATTTCTGACTGATATTCTAGCTTTACTTGTTGAGGATGACATTTGGAACTGACATTCTAGCTGTGCCGGTTGAGGAAGACATTTAGGACTGACATACTAGCTTTACTGGTTGAGGATGACATTTGGGACTGATATTCTAGCTGTAATAATTGAGGAAGATTTTCTGACTGACATTCAAGTTTCACTGTTTGAGGAAGACATTTCTGACTGACATTCTAGTTGTACTGGTTGAGGAAGACATATGGGACTAATATTCTAGCTTTAATGGATGAGGAAGATATTTCTGACTGACATTCTAGCTTAAGTGGTTGAGGAAGACATTTCTGACTGGCATTCTAGCTGTAATGGTTGAGGGAGACATTTCTGATTGACATTCTATCTGTACTGGTTGAGGAAGACATTTCTGATTGACATTCTAGCTTTAATGGTTGAGGAAGACATTTCTGACTGATATTCTAGCTTTATTTGTTGAGGATGACATTTGGAACTGACATTCTAGCTGTGCCGGTTGAGGAAGACATTTAGGACTGACATACTAGCTTAACTGGTTGAGGATGACATTTGGGACTGATATTCTAGCTTTACTGGTTGAGGAAGACATATGGGACTGACATTCTAGCTGTACTGGTTGAGAATGACATTTTGGATTGACATTCTAGCTGTACTGGTTTAGGAAGACGTATGGGACTGACATTATAGCTGTACTGGTTGAGAATGACATTTCAGATTGACAGTCTAGTTTTACTGGTTGAGGAAGACATTCGGTCTGACATTTTAGCTGTAGTGGTTGAGGAAGACATTTCGGACTGACCTTCTTGCTTTACTTGTTGAGGATGACATTTGGGACTGACATTCTAGCTGTGCCGGTTGAGGAAGACATTTCGGACTGACATTTTAGCTTTACTGGTTGATGATGACATTTGGGACTGATATTCTAGCTTTACTGGTTGAGGAAGACATATGGGACTGATATTCTAGCTGTATTTGTTGAGGATGACATTTGGGATTGATATTCTAGCTTTACTTGTTGAGGAAGACATTTTGGACTGACATTCTAGCTGTACTAGTTTAGGATGACATTTGGACTGACATTCCAGCTGTATTTGTTGAGGATGACATTTGGGACTGACATTCTAGCTGTACTGGTTGAGGAAGACATATGGGACTGACATTCTTGCTGTACTGGTTGAGGATGACATTTCAGATTGACAATCTAGCTGTACTGGTTGAGGAAGACATTCGGTCTGACATTTTAGCTGTAGTTTTTGAAGAAGACATTTCGAACTGACATTCTATCTGTACTGGTTGGGGAAAAGAATTTGGGACTGATTTCCTAGTTTACTGGTTGGGGTTTGAATTTGGGGACTGACTTTTCTAGTTTGTACTGGTTGAGGAAGAAAATTTTGGGAGACATTCTAGCTTGTACTGGTTGGGGAAAAGCCATTTGGGACTGACCCCCCCTTTTGCTTTTATTTCTTCAATGCAGATTTTAAAATAAAAAAAAATTTTAAAAAATTTTAGGGTTCCTGGAAAGTTACCTCACATGAGGGTTTTTGGTTATAATTAAGTGGGGCTTGAAATTCAAAACCTAAAACTTTTTAAGGCAAGTAAAACCATCACCCATTTTCAATATATAAAATATTTACATGGATTTGGTGACAGCTTTGTTTTTGATTTAAGAAAAATTTTTTTTAAATAACAACAAAAATTTTAAAGTTTTAAACTTTTTTGATCTTTCCAAACATTACAAGTTGTCTCATGGGTCAACCTGGTCAAATAACGAAAACATTTGAAGTCTGTTTCTTTTATTAATATCATTCAATAATTATAAATGGTGAGATAAACTGGCCAGCAGTTCTAATAATGATAATATTTAATACAATGAATATAAAACATGGCTGATGCTGTCTTTATCAAATGACTTTAAAATAATGGAAGACATCTTGGCTAGTCATAACCTTCATGTTACATGTTACATTATGTTCACATAACATTTGTTTGTGTCCAAACACCAGATTAGATCAGATTTATGTAACATTTAAAATAACTTGAAATCCTAACAATATAAAATGAAAGATCAAAGCAATTTCTTTTCAATTTCATTGAGGTTTTATATTTTTCTTTTTTTTTCCCAAATGATCCCATACATATGTAACTATGATGGCATCATAGAATACATATGAGACTGTAATGATATCATAGAATACATATGTAACTATAATGATATCATAGAATACATATGAGATTGTAATGATATCATAGAATACATATGTAACTATAATGTCATCGTAGAATATATATGTAACTATAATGACATCATAGAATACATATGTAACTATAAGGACATCATAGAATACATATGTAACTATAATGTCATCATAGAATATATATGTAACTATAATGATATCATAGAATACATATGTAACTAGATCTAAAATGATATCATAGAATGCATATGTAACTAGATCTATAATGATATCATACAATACATATGTAACTATAATGTCATCTTGAATATGTATGTAACTAAAATGACATCATAGAATACATATGTAACTATAATGACATCATAGAATATGTATGTAACTAAAATGACATCATAGAAAAATATGTAACTATAATGACATCATAGAATACATATGTAACTATAAGGATATCATAGAATACATATGCAACTATAATGTAATTATAGAATACATATGTAACTATAATGTCATCATAGAATATATATGTAACTATAATGACATCATAGAATACATATTTAACTATAAGGACATCATAGAAAACATATGTAACTTTAATGTCATCATAGAATATATATGTAACTAAAATGATATCATAGAATACATAATTATGTAATTAGATCTATAATGATATCATAGAATACATATGTAACTAGATCTATAATGATATCATAGAATACATAATATTATGTAACTAGATCTATAATGTCATCATAGAATATATATGTAACTATAATGACATCATAGAATACATATGTAACTATAATGACATCATAGAACACATATGTAACTATACTGACATCATAGAATACATATGTAACTATAATGACATCATAGAATACATATTTAACTATAAGGACATCATAGAAAACATATGTAACTTTAATGTCATCATTGAATATATATGTAACTAAAATGATATCATAGAATACATAATTATGTAACTAGATCTATAATGATATCATAGAATACATATGTAACTAGATCTATAATGATATCATAGAATACATTATGTAACTAGATCTATAATGTCATCATAGAATATATATGTAACTATAATGACATCATAGAATACATATGTAATTATGATGATATCATAGAATACATATGTAACTATACTGACATCATAGAATACATATGTAACTATAATGACATCATAGAATACATATGTAACTATAATGACATCATAGAATACATATGTAACTATAATGTCATCAAAGAATATATATGTAACTATAATGATATAATAGAATACATATGTAACTATAATGATATCATAGAATACATATGTAACTATACTGACATCATAGAATACATATGTAACTATAATGACATCATAGAATATATATGTAATTATAATGACGTCATAGATAAGATGAGCTTAACCCGATCAAAGGAACTTACAACAACAACAACAATATATTATACTAATTATAGAACTAAGAAAATGGTACATCTATACATGTATTTCATAATATATTCTGTGCCAAATGAGTTATCAAAAGTTATCTTCAACAATATTAATATATTATTTACAATGTTTGAACATCAATTTATATAATCATACATATATTACTAATATCATATAAATGAAGTCTACCAACCCAAATAGATTGCTGTTTTAACTTTCACAAAAGTCCAACATTTTAAACTCTGCAGCAGGAATATTCAAGATGGTTAAGTTTTTTATTTACAAAACAAATTGTTTTAAAATAGAGAGATGTCATCTAATGCAAACAAACAATATAAATGACAAGAATCTGGCATAAATTACATAATAACTAACTGAATTATAAATGTTATGTTTTGACAAAAATAAATATATCTGAAGAATTGGGAATATTGCCTGGGTTCAATCAAGCCACATTTAATAACTAAAACAGGAAAATGTTATGTATATTTAGAAATCCATTTCAAATTTAACAACACCAGCTTTCCTGACAAATCAGTAATTACAAGCATCAATTTAAAGCAACAACATTCTGATCAAATATTAAAAGATTAGTACAAAAAACAATAGCATAAAAATGTAAAAATTGGCATACTACATCTACATTTTATTATGTTTAGATGAATTCTTTAAAATATGCAAAAGAATAAACAAGAGGGACATGATGGCCCTGAAATTGCTCACCTGTATACAGACCCCTGGGTCAAGGCCAATTTTAAACCAGGGGCTTTTATTTGAACAAACTTGGTAGACACCCATTAGAAGATGTTTCATGATAAATATCTAAGCTTTAGCTCTTTGAAGATTTTTTAAGTTTTTACGATATACATCGGAGGGGCCAATTTTGACACCAGGGCTTTTATTGCAACAAACTTGGTAGACACTCACTAGAACATATTTCATGTTTAGTATCTAAACTCTAGTTCTTTGGGTTTTTTATAAGAAGATTTTTTAAGAATTTACTATACAAATATAAGGAAAATCAATGACCCCCAAGGCAAAGCCAATTTTAACCCAAGGGCCCTTATCTGAACAAACTTGGTAGACACCCATTTGAAGATGTTCCATGCTAAATATCTTAGCTCTAGCTCTTTGGGGTTTTTAAAAGAAGATTTTTTAAGGTTTTACTATATACATAAAGGGAAAAACAATGACCCCCTGGGGCGGGGCCGGGCCAATTTTTACCCCAGGGCTTTTATTTGAACAAACCTGGTAGACACCAACTAGAGGATGTTTTATGCTTAATATCTAAGCTCAAGCTATTTTGATTTTTTAAGTTTTTACTATATACAAGTAAGGAAAATCAATGACCACCGGGCAAATATTTAAGCTCTAGCTCTTTCAGTTTTCTAAAAGAAGATATTGTAAGTTTTTTTCTTTTGGTTGCCATGGAAACCAGAGTTCTGCTTGGGAACAATATTTAAAGTTGACTACCAAAGGAACATTCCTGTGAAGTTGGGATGAAATTGGCTTAGTGGTTTATGAGGAGATGTTGTTTACAGTAAAAGTGAATGGACAGACGGACACCGGATGAAAAGCGATCACAAAAACTTACCATGTCACTTTGTGACAGGTGAGCTAAAAAAGTTTAAAAGCTGACAGTGACTAGAGAGGCCATTAAGAATTATTTAGCTCAACCTTTTACCTCATATATACATGTTTTGACGGCTTTTCATCCCCCCCCCCCTCTTTTTTTAAGGCCTCAAATAGTGAAAAAATGCCTTATTTAGGCCCAAAACACTGTTTAACGTTTGAGAAATGTTGTTAAAAAAAGATCACTTTTTTGGAACCGCCCCCATCATAAAGGTACATCAAGGGGGTGCCAGAGGTAGGATATGCCCCCTTCATTTTGGGGGTTTGAAGGGGGCAATAGCCCCCCCCCCCCCCCCCGCCTAGAAAATTTTGGACTTGTGACTGGCTAAAAATGGCCTCAGGTTGATCTTAAGGTAATGTGTAACCAACGCTGAAAAGCCTTTTATTCTATCTCAATCCATTGAGAAGTTGCAGCACTTTGAAATCAGTTTGATGGTAAAAACAATGCAAAACAGTGAAAGGTTATTAACTAACTAAAACTCTTATAAATTTTAAGGTAAGATCCCACTAATGGGCATAATTATGAAATGTATTAACAACATAGGTCACTTATAGGCTTTAAAGTGCACCTGTATGCAATTTTAAACAAAGTTTACCGTAAAGTTTACCAGTTATGGACATTATTATGAACTTAATCTTGGTTATTAGAAGGGCTCTTTTTCAGAAAAGAAGAAACTCTAAACAATCTACGATATCTTACTTATGAAAAATATTTTCCCATATGAAACAAATAACATTCAGGTTACAATCCACAAAAGCAAAATGATTGTTTCAAGTCAAAATTTATAAATACATGTATGCACAAAAAAGTTACCCTACTCCATCCAATTTTAACACTTGTATGATCATTTTCCTACTTATTTAAAAAATCCATAAAATTACCAAATTGAGGGGCTGCTTTCAAACTTTCAAAAGTATATTGGTTGATCTTGTACAATATCAAATACTTTTACCGTGTATTTTTTATTTAATTAGACTGAAATATTAGGTACCATATTTTTTTTATTCAATTTAGCATTATTAAGCAAATACTAACCCACATCAATTATATAATTAAAATTAAAAACACTTTTTTTCTGTCCTAAATGGTTATAAGAGACACAGAAATAATGTTAAAATGAAAAAAGAGAGAAAAAATCAGTTGACACTCAATCTGAGGTTTGAACCCAGGCCCCCCCCCCCCCCCCTAGTTTCAATGCAGTTGACATTAATTCTAGCCTATTTGAATACCGTTCAATGCAGAGATAATTCATTAGGGGGATCTTAAATGTTAACAGATTACATCATTACATCATCACACAAATCACACAGTATCATTAAAGTTCCTCTTCACATTTTTTGTTTCATTTTTTAATTTACTCCACTTGGCTGGATTTTTCCTAAAGTACCAAACACCACCCACAACAAGGGCTAGTATAACCACAGCTGATATTGCCAGAGCAACAATCAAAATGGAATTACTATGTGACTTTGCAACATAAACACCGCCAGATGTCGCCTTAAATTTTGCTACATCACCATCCACTTCTGTGTCAATTTTTGTCCAAGTGCCAAAGTTGCTGTCGGAAGAAGTACGGTAGACAGCAACACGACTAGAATCAGAATCTATCTTTAAACTAATGTCCATATGTTTACCAGCACTGACCATACTGGACTGTGGATAGAGCACCAAAAAATCACTGACATAATCCTCGCCAGCCTGTTAAAAGAAAAAGAAAACTGTATATAATAAATTCAAGCTATGATAAAACTGTTAATTTACTTTTACTGCATGTATTTTGAATTGATAAAATCACAATCTACCTTGCCTGTTTAGAAAATAAACATTATGAAAGAATTTTATGACAATTTTACTTATAAATTCTCCATATATGTTGAGATTATTGGCTTTGAAGCAACATCATTATTTTCTTTACCTATATCAATTATAACAGTAAAGGTAATATGTATATCCAACAAGCACACAATACTGTAAATAACAATATACCAGTAGCGAAACAATTTATCAAAGTACCTTTAAAACTTTTCCAGCCACCCTAACCTTGTCATGACCTTGACTTCGGGGCCAGACTTCAAGTCTCATCATATGAAGACTTCCAAAAACTCCTTGTTCTACATGTACAGTGCCCGCACTTGAAATACAGATACAATACTAATGTATATATCTGTATATATATATACATATAGAAATAAACATATATATATAATATATGTTAAAAGAAAAAGAAAACTGTATATAATATATTCAGGCTATGATAAAACTGTTTACTGCAATCAATATATATATATATATTTCATGCAGTCATATATACAGATACAATACTTTTATACATATAGATACATTACTAATATATATATACAGATACAATACTATTATACATATAGATACATTACTAATATATATATACAGATACAATACTATTATACATATAGATACATTACTAAAATATATATATACAGATACAGTACTATTATACATATAGATACATTACTAATATATATATATATATACAGATACAATACTATTATACATATAGATACATTACTAATATATATATACAGATACAATACTATTATACATACAGATACATTACTAATATATATATATATATATACAGATACAATACTATTATACATATAGATACATTACTAATATATATATATATATACAGATACAATACTATTATACATATAGATACATTACTATATATATATATATATATATATATATACAGATACAATACTATTATACATATAGATACATTACTAATATATATATACATATACAATACAGTGAAACTTCTGAAAACCAAACACCTCTGGGACTAGCCCAAAAAGTTCGGAATTTGGAAGTTTCTGGAATTCAGGAGTTCGGAATTACATGAACAAGTAGAAAGACTAAACAAATGTTTAAGAGGACATGAAGAAAAATATATGAAGGTGATCAAATTCATAAAATGGCAAAATTATAGGACTTTAAAAAAAGTTTATTAAATACCTTTGTAATCTATAACTGAATTTGTTGATACAACAGCATAATGTTAAATATCACAATTTATCCTTTAGTATATTTCATGTAGTACCAGCTATTAATCTTTAATCTTTGTACTTCTTAGTCTTTTAATTTTCACACTTCACCATAATCAAGTGTTTGACATGCTGGACAGTTTATGATTCTATTAGGTGTCAAGATAAATGGTTATACATGTAATTGCTAATTGGAAGATACCAAGAAGTATCATATTCCTTCATTCACACCTTTTCATTTCCAGATTTTGGAAGTAAATTTGAATTGATGTAACTCAAATTTTACCAGAAAATGGTTCGGAATTCAGAATTTAGAAGTTCCGTAATTCAGAGGGTTTAATTATATAGAAAACAGAAGGAGAAATTTCGGGACCCTGAAATATGTTCGGATTTTAGAAGTTCAGGAATTAGGAAGTTACACTGTACTATATATATATATATCAATCCCAGGAAAATGAAATTATAACAAGAGCCACTGTCAAGCGGGGCGCAACGCTCAACATTTTTACTTTTTCTTAAAGCAGACAAATAAACGTTTATAAACAAATCTGACAGAAAAAAGCTAAGTTTTTCTTTTTTTTAAATTTCAATAGGTCTGTCTAGTCACACTAGTTTGGTCCAAATATGAATCCTTTCCATAAATAAATGACAATGTTAAGAAAATATAATTTAAATTCAATCATTTGACAGTCAAGGTCACTTAAAGGTCAAGGTTATATGTAAATTGTTAAATATGTTTGTTTAGTAGCAAGTCTTGTTTTATCCATGCTTAAATCAAATCCTTACATAAATTACAAAATTATGACAATTTAACACAAAATTCAATAATTTGACCTTGATGGTCAAGGTCATTTAAAGGTCAAGGTCAGTTCAACTTTTCAGAAGGTCTTGTCCAAAATGTTGTTTTGTTTAAGAATCAAGATAATACATTCATTAATAATTACCAAGTTACAGTCAATTAAAGCAAAAATCAGTGAAAATTCAATAATTTGACCTTCAAGGTCAATGTCATAAAAGAGCCAAGGTCAATTTGAATATGATATACATGAAGGTCTTATCCTAAAAATTGTTCTGTTATAATATGAAGTCAATCATTTCAAAAATAACAACACTGATATAACTGTAACAATACCTCTATTTTAAAATAAGTTGAGCTAAAAATTGCTTTAAATATTATGAATAAGATTAAAACTCACTTATTTGGCAGAACTACATTCCCACCAAAATACCCAAGAGTCGATTCTGTGAATGCCATACTGGTTACCATAATTCTTCCCTTCTGATCCCTGTTTGTAAAATCATTATTTCTTGTGCTGACATAATGATATGTTCCTAATTGAGTCACCTTTTTTGGTCCAAGGTCAAAGTATGGTGATGCTTCATTCAAGTCTGGGTCAAGATTTTCGTTTCCTAAAATCATAAGAAAATTTGGACTACATAAATCTGTGAAGGAATTCCAGTTATTTTTTGTGTGTGTTTTTTCACTTTTAATTAGTAACTTAGTATAACAAGAGGGCCATGATGGCCCTGGGGTCGCTCACCTGTACATAGGTATGTACATGTTTCATGCTATATATCTTAGCTCTAGCTCTTTGGGTTCTTTAAAAGAAGATTTTTAAGTTTTTAATTACTATAATTATGCAATATAGGGAAAATCAATGACCCCCTAGGGCGGGGCCAATTTTGACCCAAGGGCTTTTATTTGAACAAATTTGGTAAACATCCATTAGAACATGTTTCATGCTAAATATCTTAGCTCTAGCTCTTTGGGTTCTTTAATAGAAGATTTTTAAGATTTTACTCTATGTATATAGGGAAAATCAATGACCCCTGGGACGGGGCCAATTTTGACCCCAGGGCTTTTATTTGAACAAATTTGGTAGACACCCATTAGAAGATGTGTCATGCTAAATATCTTAGCTCTAGCTCTTTGGGTTCTTTAAAAGAAGATTTTTCAAAGTTTTTACTATATGCATATAGGGAAAATCAAAGACCCCCTGGGGCGGGGCCAATTTTGACCCCAGGGCTTTTATTTGAACAATCTTGGTAGACACCCATTAGAACATGTTTCATGCTAAATATCTTAGCTCTAGCTCTTTGGGTTCTTTAAAAGATTTTTTTTAAAGTTTTTACTATATGCATATAGGGAAAATCAATGACCCCCTGGGGCGGGGCCAATTTTGACCCCAGGGCTTTTATTTGAACAAACTTGGTAGACACTGATTTGAAGATGTTTCCTGCTAAATATCTTAGCTCTAGCTCTTTGGGTTCTTTTAGAGAATTTTTTTTAAAGTTTTTACTATATGCATATAGGGAAAATCAATGACCCCCTGGGGCTGGGCCAATTTTGACCCCAGGGCTTTTATTTGAACAAACTTGGTAGACATCCATTAGAACATGTTTCATGCCAAATATCTAAGCTCTAGCTCTTTGGGTTTTTTAGAAGAAGATTTTTTTAAGTTTTTACTATAAGTATATAGGGAAAATCAATGACCCTTTGAACAACTTTGTTAGGCTTCTACAGAACACTGTGAAGTTCTCATTATGATCTGCCTATGGTTTAGTGGAGATGCCATTTTGTGCACGAACGGATGACGGATCGACAGAGGAGGTACGAGTATCTGTAATGCCAGAGTAGTTTGCCTGTGAAGGCTAAAAGATTTTCTATTTTTATTGGTGCCAGTGAATCGGAACGTGCCATGATGTGCACAACTAGATGTACTGATACTCACTTACAAGTTGACTGAAAATCCAAACTCAGTAGTTCACTTGAAGGGCAATATTAATCTGAAGGGCCTGTCACAAAAACATGACGTTTCACAAACAACTATGATTTCCTGAACTTGTTTGTGCAGCATTAAGTTCACAGCTAAACCGACCATTTGCCTGACTGTAACCAGACAAATCTTTATTTATATAGCACATATTTTTTTCCAAACAAACTTGAGAGACATGCCAGTCAACTTCAACTTGATCACTCTAGTTAAGTTTGGTTGAGAATCACAGTTTTTGCTGTGAAGAAAGAGATATAGATTTCTGTTTTGCTTGAGTGACCATCTTTGTGCAGCAAAATTGACCATATGACGTGATGTGCACAAAGGGATCTTTCATTTCACTTCTTTTAAAGTATTGATATCAACTGATCTCTGTAACAGTAACTGTTTGTCAGATACCCACTCAGTATTATTGACACATGGTAAGGAAGACGGAACATAGATTTTCGTTAATTATTATTTAATAGACTGGGTGCATTTTGCTACATAGAAGCAGGAATGTGTGTGATGTACCAAAGCCTGCTGCGATTTGAGTACATGATTCATTTTATCCCACAGTCAGTTACTTGAGGCAGAAAATTTTCATTTTAGCTTGGCATGCCATTTGTAGGAACGAACGTGCCAATATGTCGACAATAGGGAAGGTAATATATCAATTCCTGTAATTCTTGTTTGATAATAATTTACTTTGACTGTAAGGGAGAAAGATTTTTCTATATTTAGCTCTGGCTGCCATTTTGTGCAGCGAAGCAGAACGTGCTGGTTATGTGCACAACTTAGGATGGTACTGATCACTCCTGTAAAGTTTGACTGAAATCCCACCAGTTGTTCGACCTGTGAATGGCGGACAAGCTTAATGCTGACAGACAACGGACAGACACACAGACGTACTCACAAAATCGTACTTATGTGACTTTTCCTTTGATCTTTTTGGCTATTTTAAGTCACACAAGGCTTAAAACAAGAGGGCCATGATGGCCCTGAATTGCTCACCAGAAACAATTGTTTTTTCAGTGATAATAGAAATATTTTTTTCAAAAAAACTTGTAGAAAGACATGTCCAGGTCAACTTCAACTTGACTCTCTAGTTATAAGGTTTCCCGAGAATGATTGTTTTTTTCTTTATAGTAAAAATAATAGGAACCAAGTTTGGTGATCATCCATCCAATAATTTGTGATAAAATTTGCCTATGACTGTTTTTCAAAATTGGGATCTTTCATTTTTTTTACTTGTTTTAAATATTAGATAATTACATGATCTCAGTATTTAGATAATCATGTATACTGTTTGTCAGGATGACACCACCGGTCAATATTTATTTCAGACAACATAGGTATACTGGTCAACTCGACCAGAAAGTTAGCATTTCAGGTTAATTATCCTACTCTCTAATAGAAATGGGGAAAATTGTAACTTTAACTACATAGAGAACAAGAATGTGTTTGTTAAACACAAATGCCCCCTGCTCCGATTCTTGTCAGTAGCAATATTTCAAAAAATGTTTACCCATTCACTCAGTTATGGACAGAAACATTGCCAAAAATTGTAAACACAAGTTATATAGCTTGACAGAGTCATGGCATTTTGTAATTGTGAAATATATAAGTTGCCAAGTCATTGCTATGACTTGTGAAGTGATAAATATTCAACTTTATCAAATATATATAAATGTGAGAAATCTTTTTTTTTTTTTAATCTTGGCACCCTTGACCTTGACCCACTGACACCTATAGAATATCATGCAAGTTATCTTCCTACCAAATATGAAATACACCTGTCAATAAATAAAGGCTGTATGGGCAAAAATGTTAAAATCTATTTTGAGCATTGATGACCTTGACCAATCTGTCAACTTTATCAAATATATATAAATGTGAGAAATCTTTTTTTTTTTTTTTTATTCTTGGCACCCTTGACCTTGACCCACTGACACCTATAGAATATCATGCAAGTTATCTTCCTACCAAATATGAAATACACCTGTCAATAAATAAAGGCTGTATGGGCAAAAGTGTAAACAATCTATTTTTAGCACTTGTGACCTTGACCCAACTGACCCCTAACACCATCCAAAGCAAGAATAACATGCAAGTTATTTTCCTACCAAATATGAAATAAATCTGTCAATATATAAAGGCTGTATGGGCAAAAGTGTAAAAATCTATTTTTAGCACTAGTGACCTTGACACACTGATCCCTAACTCAATCAAAAGGAAGAATACCATGCAAGTTATCTTCCTATCAAATATGAAATACACCTGTCTATAAATAAAGCCTGTATGGGCAAAAGTGTAACAATCTATTTTTAGCACAAGTGACCTTGACCCATTGATCCCTACCCCAATCAAAAGGATGAATACCATGCAAGTTATCTTCCTACCAAATATGAAATATATCTGTCAATAAATAAAGGCTGTATGAGCAAAAGTGTAAAAATCTATTTTTAGAACTGGTGACCTTGACCCAACTGACCACTAACTCCATCAAATTTTATGTTCCTATCAATTATAAATGACATCTGTCTATAGAATATGATTAATACACCTGTAAAAATGTAAAAATCTATTTTTAACATTGGTGACCTTGACATTGGTGATATTGACCTTGACTCAAATGACCCCTTAATATACCCAAAGAAGGAGGACCTCCCTTGGCATGTTTGTATTAAACATGAAAGACATCAACCAAAAAATAAAGGCTGTATGAGCAAAAATGTTTAAATTTATTTTCTAAACCTGAGTGACCTTGACTTTGACCCTAGAGACCACTTACTCCACAACAAATTAGAGGACCATTAAAGGTATCCACCTACCAAATATGCAAGATATCATTAAATAAATTAAGCAATTAAGAGAAATTTACAATAAATCCAACTTGTCGGAATTGGTTAACCAGACAAGGCCCTATTTCAAAGTGAAAAAAGGGAAATAACTGGGAAATATGGATGACACAGTTATATTACTTGGCAATATCATGTACTTTGTATTGATAAGTAAGTGTGGAAATTATGAAGCCATTTGTAAAGATAGAATTTAAGATATTTCCAACTTGCCGTTTTAGGTTAACCATTATTCATTTTTTCTAAGTGCTGAAAAGGGCAATAACTTGGTAAATATGGAAGCCATAGTTATGTAACTTGACCAGATCATGTACTTTGTATTGATTAGTAAGTGTGTAAACTAAGAAGCCATTGGTACAGGTAGAACTTAAGAAAAATCCAACTTGTCGTTCTAGGTTAACCTCATACGGACAGATGGACAGACAGACGGACGGACGGATGTTCTTACATTTGTATTCTTGTTGGGTATACTGTGTAAAAAAAGTACCCAACAATCAAAGAAAATACCCAACAATACATACGGAGTGAGTAGGATTGGTAGTTGTTGGGTATTCAATACCCAACATATACCCTCTCGTGAGTGCGGACGGACGGACAAGTGCAACGCTATATGCTCCCACATTGTGGGGGCATAATCATCAAAACAACCTTCCTGACAAATTTCCAAAATATTTGGATGAAAACTGCAGCCCCTCGAGTGTTAATAAGCTTTTTCTATTTTTAGCTCCTGTGAGCTAGTTTTTGACTGGAGATGACCCATCTTCGATCTTAACTTAGATATCATCTAAACAACCTTCCTGACAAATTTACAGAATATTTGGATGAAAACTGCAACCATTAGAGTGTTAATAAGCTTTTTCTATTTTTAGCTCCTGTGACCTAGTTTTTGACCGGACATGACCCATCTTCAAACTTGACCTAGATATCATCAAAACAACCTTCCTGACAAATTTCCAGAATATTTGGATGAAAATTGCAGCCTCTAGAGTGTTAACAAGCTTTTTCTATTTTTAGCTCCTGTGACCTAGTTTTTGACCGGAGATGACCCATCTTCGAACTTGACCTAGATATCATCAAAACAACTTTCCTGACAAATTTCCAGAATATTTGGATGAAAACTGCAGCCACTAGAGTGTTAACAAGCTTTTTCTATTTTTAGCTCCTCTAACCTAGTTTTTGACCGGAGATGACCCATCTTCGAACTTGACCTGGATATCATCAAAACAACCTTCCTGACAAATTTCCAGAATATTTGGATGAAAACTGCAGCCACTAGAGTGTTAACAAGCTTTTTCTATTTTTAGCTCCTGTGACCTAGTTTTTGACCGGAGATGACCCATCTTCGAACTTGACCTAGATATCATTAAAACAATCTTCCTGACAAATTTCCAGAATATTTGGATGAAAACTGCAGCCTCTAGAGTGTTAACAAGCTTTTTCTATTTTTAGCTCCTGTGACCTAGTTTTTGACCCGAGATAACCCATCTGCCAACTCGATCTGTATTTCATTGAGACAAACATTCTGACAAAGTTTGATGATGATCCAATCAAAACTGTGACTGCTAGACTGTTAACAATCCAATTGTTGACGACGCACGACGACGGACGCCGGACATAGCCCCATCACTATACCTCACCTTGACCACTTGGTGGTCAGGTGAGCTAAAAACAGATCAAATAAATACACCAGTTTTAATGATATAACAGCTTAACATTATGATTTATGGAAGCAGATTTTAATTTAAGGTTGCAGATTATAACTATTTTTCTGCTCTAAAAATTCTTTCATATGAATATAATAGGCTTATAATTATACAATGTATTGGTTAATCCAGTAGATACATATAAGACCCAACACATTTCAATAAAACAAACCCTCTTAATTATTATTGACGAGATTATTCAGTAGAGCCTGTAAAACATACCTGGTTCAAGGAAGGCCAGTTTTATGAGATCCTTTTCACTGAGTCCAAGAAACTGTGATTCATTCAGTCTCATAGGGTAGTTGTTTCCAAATTGACCGTATGTTGGTGCAGGGCCATACTGTACACCATTTCCCTCTGGATAACTCTTGTCACGTAATAGAAGAACGTTATTTCTGTCTGAGCCTTTCTTACCTTGCCCGTCATTATTTAAAGGATTTGTATCAGAACCAGTCCACCTGAAGAAGTTTAAAAAATCATTCAAAGTATTAGAGACTTCACCATAAACAATGCAGAGTACATGTATTATACAGCAATTGTAATCATGATAATTCTTTATCATCTTGAAAAATTCAACATGAAACTGACTCCCTGGTATAAAAATATGTCTCATATATATTATGACTGTATAATACAAATTTCTAAACATTTCAAGAAAGTTAAGCACAGAGAAATTCACAAAATAGAGATAGCTAAAAAGTTAATATAAATGTACAGTTCAACCTGTGCAGAAGAGCACACTGAGATAGTTAATGCTGTGAGATAGTTGATGCTGGGAGGCCAAACATTTGGTAATTGTTGAAAGATATTTGATGCTGGGAGGCCAAACTTTTGGTAGTTGTTGAGAGACATTCGATACTGGGAGGCCAAACTTTTGGTAGTTGTTGAGAGATATTTGATGCTGGGAGGCCAAACTTTTTGGTAGTTGTTGAGAGATATTTGATATTGGGAGGCCAAACATTTTGATAGTTGTTGAGAGATATTTGATACTGGGAGGCCAAACTTTTTGGTAGTTGTTGAAAGATATTTCATGCTGGGAGGCCAAACTTTTTGGTAGTTGTTGAGAGATATTTGATATTGGGAGGCCAAACTTTTGGTAGTTGTTGAGAGATATTTGATATTGGGAGGCCAAACGTTTTGGTAGTTGTTGAGAGATATTTGATATTGGGAGGCCAAACTTATTGGTAGTTGTTGAGAGATTTTTGATATTGGGAGGCCAAACTTTTTGGTAATTATTGAGAGACATTTGATACTGGGAGGCCTAACTTTTTGATAGTTGTTGAGAGATATTTGATACTGGGAGGCCAAACTTTTTGGTAGTTGTTGAGAGATATTTGATATTGGGAGGCCAAACTTTTTGGTAGTTGTTGAGAGATTTTTGATACTGGGAGGCCAAACTTTTTGGTAGTTGTTGAGAGATATTTGATACTGGGAGGCCAAACTTTTTGGTAGTTGTTGAGAGATATTTGATATTGGGAGGCCAAACTTTTTGGTAGTTGTTGAGAGATTTTTGATATTGGGAGGCCAAACGTTTTGGTAGTTGTTGAGAGATATTTGATATTGGGAGGCCAAACTTTTTGATAGTTGTTGAGAGATTTTTGATACTGGGAGGCCAAACATTTTGGTAGTTGTTGAAAGATATTTGATATTGGGAGGCCAAACTTTTTGATAGTTGTTGAGAGTTTTGATACTGGGAGGCCAAACCTTTTGGTTGTTGTTGAGAGACATTTGATATTGGGAGGCCAAACTTTTTGGTAGTTGTTGAGAGATATTTGATATTGGGAGGCCAAACTTTTTGGTTGTTGTTGAGAGATTTTTGATACTGGGAGGCCTAACTTTTTGATAGTTGTTGAGAGATATTTGATGCTGGGAGGCCAAACCTTTTGGTTGTTGTTGAGAGACATTTGATACTGGGAGGCCTAACTTTTTGGTAGTTGTTGAGAGATTTTTGATATTAAGAGGCCAAACTTTTTGGTACTTGAGAGATATTTGATACTGGGAGGCCAAACTTTTTGGTAGTTGTTGAGAGATATTTGATATTGGGAGGCCAAACTTTTTGATAGTTGTTGAAAGATATTTGATATTGGGAGGCCAAACTTTTTGGTAGTTGTTGAGAGATATTTGATATTGGGAGGCCAAACTTTTTGGTAGTTGTTGAGAGATATTTGATGCTGGGAGGCCAAACGTTTTGGTAGTTGTTGAGAGATATTTGATATTGGGAGGCCAAACTTATTGGTAGTTGTTGAGAGATTTTTGATATTGGGAGGCCAAACGTTTTGGTAATTATTGAGAGACATTTGATACTGGGAGGCCAAACTTTTTGATAGTTGTTGAGAGATATTTGATACTGGGAGGCCAAACTTTTTGATAGTTGTTGAGAGATATTTGATATTGGGAGGCCAAACTTTTTGGTAGTTGTTGAGAGATTTTTGATACTGGGAGGCCAAACTTTTTGGTAGTTGTTGAGAGATATTTGATATTCGGAGGCCAAACTTTTTGGTAGTTGTTGAGAGATATTTGATATTGGGAGGCCAAACTTTTTGGTAGTTGTTGAGAGATATTTGATATTGGGAGGCCAAACGTTTTGGTAGTTGTTGAGAGATATTTGATATTGGGAGGCCAAACTTTTTGATAGTTGTTGAGAGATTTTTGATCCTGGGAGGCATAACATTTTGGTAGTTGTTGAAAGATATTTGATATTGGGAGGCCAAACTTTTTGATAGTTGTTGAGAGATTTTTGATACTGGGAGGCCTAACTTTTTGATAGTTGTTGAGAGATTTTGTTATTGGGAGGCCAAACCTTTTGGTTGTTGTTGAGAGACATTTGATATTGGGAGGCCAAACTTTTTGGTAGTTATTGAGAGACATTTGATACTGGGAGGCCTAACTTTTTGGTAGTTGTTGAGAGATATTTGATACTGGGAGGCCAAACTTTTTGGAAGTTGTTGAGAGATATTTGATACTGGGAGGCCAAACCTTTTGGTACATGTTGAGAGATATTTGATACTGGGAGGCCAAACTTTTGATAGTTTTTGAGAGATATTTGATATTGGGAGGCCAAACTTTTGATAGTTTTTGAGAGATATTTGATACTGGGAGGCCAAACTTTTTTGTAGTTGTTGAGAGATTTTTGATATTGGGAGGCCAAACTTTTTGGTAGTTGTTGAGAGATATTTGATGCTGGGAGGCTATACTTTTGATAGTTGTTGAGAGATATTTGATGCTGGGAGGCCAAACTTTTTGGTAGTTGTTGAGAGAAATTTGATACTGGGAGGCCAAACTTTTTGGTAGTTGTTGAAAGATATTTGATATTGGGAGGCCAAACTTTTTGGTAGTTGTTGAAAGATATTTGATATTGGGAGGCCAAACTTTTTGGTAGTTGTTGAGAGATTTTTGTTATTGGGAGGCCAAACATTTTGGTAGTTGTTGAGAGATATTTGATGCTGGGAGGCCAAACTTTTTGGTAGTTGTTGAGAGATATTTGATGCTGGGAGGCCAAACCTTTTGGTTGTTGTTGAGAGACATTTGATATTGGGAGGCCAAACCTTTTGGTAGTTGTTGAGAGATATTTGATATTGGGAGGCCAAACTTTTTGGTAGTTGTTGAGAGATTTTTGATACTGGGAGGCCAAACATTTTGGTAGTTGTTGAGAGATATTTGATATAGGGAGGCCAAACTTTTTGGTAGTTGTTGAGAGATATTTGATACTGGGAGGCCAAACATTTTGGTAGTTGTTGAGAGATATTTGATATTGGGAGGCCAAACTTTTTGGTAGTTGTTGAGAGATTTTTGATGCTGGGAGTTCACAAAATGCATGTATACACATTTTCCATTTTTTGTTTAAAACTGCATGCCTCAGGATAAGCAAAAATAAAAAAGTAAAAAGATTTTAAGAAAAGCAAAAAGATTTTCATTTATACAAAATTTAATGAGCCATTGTGCAGTGTTTATTACCTTATTTTTAAAGGATGATTAATAAAGAAAGAGCTATATTTGGTAGTTTTCATAGATCTTTAAGCATTGCTCGCAATGTGTAAATAACTTCTTTCTGGTTTATTTGCAATATTATACAAATTAGCATAAATCTGAAACATGCTGCTTTAAAACATTATATTAACATACTTACTGAAAATGAACATATTCATTGGGGCTCATTTCAAGAGTATTTGGTACAAAGTCATACTCTACTGCTGGGTAAACCTGTACAATATTTCCACGCTTGCCTCGTACATTTATATTATGAATTGTGGCTCCCTTTAAGTTATCAGGTCTTTTCTTTATTGAAAACACATGTGACCTGCAAAATTGGATTAAATTTCATATATCATTTTCAGAAAATTCGAAGTACTTTTGTATGCAGAATTATTTAATATTGTGAGAATTTGAACTTCTTTACAATTTCAAAAGAGATAACATTGAACAAGCTTTAATTTTCAAAACTATGTGATTAATTTTACACAAGTTTTTTTCCATACAGTCTGTGACTTTCAGACGTATGTCTTACATTTATATTTATTATTAAACAAGATTGCATTTGTGAACAAGATTGCATTTGAGAAAAATGCTATGCCACCGCATTAATACAACACTAAATAGTAGTGTAGGAACAGATTTTTTTTGCTTCTATACAATTTTGAAGATTGTCATAATGCATAGATCCCTAACCTATGTAATTCTTATTATCAGATTAGTGGTTAAATCTGTTGTTAATTCAATAACAGATCAGAGTAGGAATATATCAATGCACTTGAGTCTAGTGTATTTGGTGATGAAAGTCATATTTCACACAGCCTAAATTTCATGACTACATCAAAGGACAACACAGGAAGACACTTTGTCAAAATCTAGAAATCAAAGTTCACTTTACATCTTAATCTGTGCACATGGTTCAAATTTCATAGCTGTACATCAAAGGACAAAAAAGTAGGTCACATCATCAAAATCTAGGTCATCTGATATCAAAGTTCAATTTTACAATTATAACTGTGCACATGGTCAAAATTTCATTGCTGTACATCAAAGGACAAGAAAGTAGGTCACTGTCCCCTTGGGCAAGGCAAAATTTTGGACCCAATGGTTTAATTCAAAACAATCTTGATACAGGTCCACCAAACAAGGTTTGCCATGGCAACCAGATTTCTGCATGGAATAAAATTCTTCGAACAACTTTGGAAGCCCTTCACCCAAGGATCAATCCTGCCAAGTTTGGTTGAAATTGGACAAGTGGTTTTTCACAAGAAGATTTTTTAAGTTCACTATATAATCTATAGAACACACGTACAAACACACACACAGGTGAATCGCTATATGCCACTGCATCGCAGATGCTGCGCTGGCATAAAAATGGAAACATTAAAGAAAATTCTTAACCCTTTATGGCACTACTTTAATAAAAATGCACCAATACTTGTTATTTATTTTCTTGTCAAATGATACCTTAATCCATATTAAACTAGAACTGTGTCCAAAGGACACGGATGCCCCCACTGTGCAGATGTGCTCGTAAACATCCAGTTTAAGAGGAGTTGCGTTCACAAGATTTCGGGACATACGGATGGACAGATGTACTGACGGACGGACAAGTGCAACGCTATATGCTCCCCACTTTGTGGGGGCATAAAAAGTAAATAAAAGTTTTATGCTTTTTCACTATATCTATATATAAAGCAATATTATGAATAAGTACCTGTCTTGAAATGTTCTACCAAACTGTGATGTATCAAAAGCAAGTCTGAAGTTAAATGTACCCTCTTCAAAAATCTTCACCTCTGGATCTCCTTTGAAAACATAGCCTCTTTTTTCAGCAATGGTATAATTACTAAAGCCGTATTTCTGTGATAAATCAAGCTTTGTAGGTGTATTGAGCTTTGGAGAATTCATTGAGGCATTGGTATTCCAGCCATCATAATCATTGGTTGATATATTATACCTAAAAACCCAATCCAAAATCTCATGCAATGTTTGTAATAAATTGTTATGTTATGCTTTAGTTTAACTAATTTTTCAAGAAAAAAAAACTACAACACTGAAAGAAATTTGAAATAAGTTCTCTACATATCTATTAAGAGGTGTATTAACTTAAGGAATTGTGTACTAATGTATGTGTATTTTGTGTGTACATAGGGTTACATGTATATATAGAGTATAGTTATCTCATTGGGAAGAAATCTATTTCAATCATTGTTATCAATGTGTATAGCTTTTATAAAATGAATACAGTAAACTCCACATATTTTTTGTTGTAATATATTTCTTGTAATGATGCTTCTGCCACCGTCCCAACTCTTGCTCCTCTCAGATATAACAATATCAGGATATAAATTCAGTGTTGATTTTTTCCATCAAAATTGATTTCAAAGTGCTGCAACTTCTCAATGGATTGAGATAGAGTCAAAGGCTTTTCAACATTGGTTACATGTTACCTTATGATCGACCTGGGGTCATTTTTAGCCTCTAGCAAGTCCAAAATTTTCTTGGTGATGAGGGGGGCTACTGCCCCCCTTCAAAACCAAAAACAGACAGAGGCACATCCCCCTTCTGGCAACCCCCCTGATGTATCTTTTGGGTAAGGGGCTGCGCCGAAAAAGTGGTCACTTCTTTAAACAACATTTATCAAACAAAAACAAGTGTTAAGGGCCTAAATAAGGCAATTTAACACCATTTGAGACAACAAAAAAGGAAGGGGAGAGGGATGAAAAAGGCGTAGAAAGGTGTATATATATGGTAATGGGTTAATAATGTTTGAAACACATAATATACATAGAGTATTAGAACTTTCTGAATAAACTCTGATAAAAGACTTGCAATGGGTTAATTCTTAACTTCAACAACAAAAACATATATAATGAATGATATGACTATTTATCACTGAAAATATGATATATTTCACTCCTCAAATATAGAATCAACATACCTCATCCTCAAAACACAATTCCCTTGATTTATGTCTGGTAATGTCCAGTTATATCTATTTGGATTACCATCCAGGCCATTTCCTAGGTGATTATCACGTGAGAACTGGGTTTCTCGACAAACAGGGGCAGGTAATCCATGAGCTGGATACTCTCTCCAAACCCCTTTTATGCCATTTGCATCACCTTCTGGAAATATGAATTTCTGAAATAAAACAAATCATAAAGCACATAGATTAGGTTTACACACTTTTTACTAAACAAGTTCTTAAAAATGATAATAAATCACTTTGGAGAAAGCTTCCAGGAAAATTACTGGTGCACTGGTGCCATATGAGGAACATGGTAATGACAGAGGACAGCTTAAACCCTGGTTCTGCAGAAGATACTTCAACTAGAGGATGCTTTTGTAAAAAAGCGCATGTCTCCCCCACTGCTGAGAATAACTGTGAATGGAAACAGGAATGGAAATGGAGATAAGATAATGTAAATACCCGGTAGTCACTTCAATGAAGGCTGTCTATGGATGGTTTCTATTGTTAAGGTTGTATGAGAAGATGCTTCCTAAACTGTTTGTTTTTAACCAGGTATTCAATTTTGAAAATCCTGGTTATTCAATCAGCGTATGGCAGGCGGGCGTCAAACGAAATTGCACTTGATGGTCATATCATATATAGTTTCACAAATGAAATTAAATGAAATTGTGTCTGCTCCATAATTCTTCAAACCTTTAAAGGATTTTGATGATACTTGAAACAAACGTTCATATTGTCAGATTTTTTTACACTATTGAAAGACAACTCAAATTACAATGTATGTAAAATCATGATAACTGTAGTGTGTTGGGATGACTCCACTCGTTTTCACAATGAAGCCTCTCTGGTAGATACTTGAAACAAAAATTCACCACATCCAGAGAACGTGTAGAGTACATGTTTCGTATGGCTGGTTCCAAGGTCAAGGTCTACTTGACACTTGAATGTCATATCATATATAGTTTCACAAACGAAATTAAAGGAAATTGTGTCTGCTCCATAACTCTTCAACCCTTTGAAGGATTTTGATGATACTTGAAACAAACGTTCATATTGTCAGATTTTTTACACTATTGAAAGACAACTCAAATTTCAATGTATGTCAAATCATGATAACTGTAGTGTGTTGGGTTGACTCCACTCGTTTGACCTACTGACCCCAAAAACAATAGGGATCATCAGCTCTATAAGACCAATCATCCTATGAAGTTTGAGGGCTGTAGGTCAAAAGGAACTCTAGTTATCATCCGGAAACGAGAAATTGACCAACGGTCACTGTGACCTTGACCTTTGAACTACTGACCCCAAAAACAATAGGGATCATCTGCTCAATATGACCATTCATCCTATGAAGTTTGAGAGCTGTAGGTCAAAAGGAACTCTAGTTATCGTCCGGAAACGAAGAATGGACGGACGGACTGACGGACGGACGGACTGACGGACGGACAGGGCAAAAACAATATGTCTCCCCCCCAGTTTGAGGGTTGTAGGTCAAAAGGAATTCTAGTTATCATCCGGAAATGAGAAATTGACCAACGGTCACTGTGACCTTGACCTTTGACCTACTGACCCCAAAAACAATAGGGATCATCTGCTCTATAAGACCAATCATCCTATGAAGTTTGAGGGCTATAGGTCAAAAGGAACTCTAGTTATCATCCGGAAACGAGAAATTGACCAACGGTCACTGTGACCTTGACCTTTGAACTACTGACCCCAAAAACAATAGGGATCATCTGCTCAATAAGACCAATCATCCTATGAAGTTTGAGGTCTGTAGGTCTAAAGGAACTCTAGTTATCATCCGGAAACGAGAAATTGACCAACGGTCAGTGTGACCTTGACCTTTGACCTACTGACCCCAAAACAATAGGGATCATCAGCTCTATAAGACCAATCATCCTATGAAGTTTGAGGGCTGTAGGTCAAAAGGAACTCTAGTTATCATCCGAAAACGAGAAATTGACCAACGGTCACTGTGACCTTGACCTTTGAACTACTGACCCCAAAAACAATAGGGATCATCTGCTCAATAAGACCATTCATCCTATGAAGTTTGAGAGCTGTAGGTCAAAAGGAACTCTAGTTATCGTCCGGAAACGAAGAATGGACGGACGGACGGACTGACGGACGGACAGGGCAAAAACAATATGTCTCCCCCCGAGGTGGGGGAGACATAATAACTAAGCCATCACTCCCCTATAAATTATGATAGTACAGTTACAGAATTTTCAAGATTCTTAAGAAAAAATACCATTTCACAAAGTTTTTATCAATCAACATACATTTTGTAGCTTTAGAGTGCAAACAGTTCAATAAAATTTTATTTACTTTTTATAGTTTTCAAACATAAACATCACCAGAGTTATAGATATATATACATATTAAAAGTTGCAAGGAATTTACATCATAATTCAAGAACATATGTAATTAGTAAACTATAAATATATATATAATGTATATTCATTTGTATAGTAAATCAGTGTACCCGTACAATTGAAAAATTCCTATATTTTTCATGATTGAGTAAACTATAAACTGTAAACAATTACCTCACAGTCCTCTTTATTATTTGGAATACTTTTGACATTACCATCCATCTCTTCTAGTTTGACTGTTGAGAAATAACAATGCCAGCGTGATTTGACATTAGCACTCTCAGTTGTATAATACTTGCACCGCTCAATATCACTGGTTAATACAGCAATGTCCTGATCAAAACAACAACAGCATGAAAATTTGTGTTAATAACATATTGTGGAAGAGATTTATTGTAAGTCATACAGAATGTCAGTCAAAAAGACATTATTTTCAATTTCAGTGTTGCTACATTTTTCTGGATCTTCCAGATCATTGATTCCAACACTTCTAGTTATTGCAAATTGAGTACCGCTCAAAACTGTGTAAGGGGGCCTGAGGGATGTTGCACATTTTCATTTCATTTTGTGTGATTCTGGCCCAATTTGAGTAAAAAGTGTTCACTATTCTAGAAATGCAGGGTGGGTGAAAATTTGCACACAAATTATTGGTTCAGACCTACTCAAATCTCTGAAAAATATTTCCAATCCCGTCATGTCAGAAAACCTCATTGGAGTCCCTTTTAATAATACGTTACTATTCTCACTATTCATTACATTACATTGAACATTTCACTTTTTTACTGCCAAATAATTTCCTGTTATTAAAGCAACTTACCTTCCATGGAGACGGATGCCAATAAGGGTAATAATCTCTTTCCTCAGTACATTCGTAACCATAGCGATTATTTTTCCCATTGTTCTCTTGTCTTGTTGAAACAGCTGTTTCTCTATTTATCATATTCTATGAAGGATAATTCTTTGTTAAATATCATGTTAACTGTCTTTTAATAAAATTTTATATTGAACTTAAGAAATTAACTCATAACTTCTCTACCAACAACAAAATAAATATTTAGACACTCCAGAAAGAGTCTGGAAAGTGACATAATGCTAATGTTTCATTACTCTATTGGGTAGCAAAATTGTCATGTTAGACATATATTTAAAAGAATTGACATGTTTTCAAAATTTTAAAAAAGTGTACCAGAAAAAGTTTACAAAAAGTAAGAAACCAACAACTAAATTAAGATAAAGTAACAATCTTGATTATAAATGTCTGGCAAAGATTTTATTTCTCTCTGTACAGAGGTTCTAGGTATGGTACCGGTATATAGGAAGGTCTTAGATACAGTTGTAACATTGATAATATATCTTGTACCTGATCTGCTGTAAATAGTCCTTTGTTTCGCTGTCGTAACCTACACTGGCCATAATAATCATAATTTTCATGCATTCCAAACTGCTCATCTGTGTTACAGTTCTCATCTGCACAATTGGTTTTGTCCAGTGGTATGGTGCTGCAATGTACAAGGATTCCTAAGTAATTAATTTAAGTAGAAAGTTAGTTCTGAAAACTCCTGTATGCCATCACCAGTAAGCATACCAACATGTAAGCATGTCAGCTAGTAATAAATATTAACACATGTTTTTGACAACTTTGAGTTACAAATTGATATAGAAACATAGAAATATTACAAATAGTAAGAATTATACATGATGACATTCTATTTGTATTAAACAAAACAAAGTGTATTTTGTTCTGTTGTATTATCCTTGGTTTCACTTTCAATGTCATACAGGGAGTTCCTTTCTTGATGGAATTAGCAAAACCCTTTGAGTTTCCTGCATAATTTCAGTTTCCTTAGAAAGACCAACAAAATTTTCAGATGCCAGAAACAGAACTTTCTAATCTGGCTACTATAATAAACAGAAATGACAAAACAATTTTGGTAACTAAGCATAGTTATCTAATATTGTAAAAAATCTTACGTAGTTGTTGTACCATCTCTGAGGTTTTTATCACACATGTATTGTAAGATGAGTTCACAATGATTGTTCTTGTTGTGACATGAATGCTGGTTTGTCCTGAAATGTTTCAATCATAATTAATCTGATAAATTCTGATATTGGACTTGTATACATTTCACTCCTGAACAGTCCAATAATGGAACAGTCCAATAACAGAAAATCCAAGAACAGTCCAATAACAGAACAGTCCAATAACGGAACAGTCCACGAAGGGAACAGTCCAATAAGAGAACAGTGCAAAAACGGATCAGTCTAATATCAGAACAGTCCAATAACAGAACAGTCCAATAACGGAACCGTCCAAGAACGGAGCAGTCCAATAATTGAAGAGTCCAATGAGGAAACGGTCCAATAACAGAACAGTCCAAGAACGGAACAGTCCAAGAACAGAACAGTCCAAGAATGGAACAGTCCAAGAATGGAACAGTCCAATAACAGAACAGTCCAATAACAGAACAGTCCAATAAAAGAACAGTCCAATAATGAAACAGTCCAATAACAGAACAGTCCAATAACAGAATAGTCCAATAACGGAACAGTCCAATAACAGAACAGTCCAAGAACGGAACAGGCTACTATCAGAACAGTTCAATAACGGAACAATCCAGGAATGGAACAGTCCAATAATGGAACAGTCCAATAACAGTTAAACAGGCTAAAACAGGCTAAAGCTATAATTGAGTGGCAAACATCCTGGAATCTGGTTAGACAGGATGAAAGTGTGGACTGTGTGATCTGTTAAATAATAGCATTTAAAAGTAAATGATGAACCCTAAAATATGACCATCAATATAAAACCTGAAAAAAAGGTCAACCTAAAACTTCACATAGAGAAATTCTTTCAAACTATAGGCTTCATTTAATATATGTTAATCAATCACAATAATTGTAGTAACACCTGTGCCTATGTGCCTGTGTCCTTTAAGTGGTATAAGATCTAACATACAATGTACATCTATATATTTAAGGATATTTGTATTTCCTATCAATTTATTAAAGACCCATTACTCAGTTGATATAAGAAATTATAGTGAACTGTATACTGAAAACACACTAGAGGAAGCAGATGTCCATAGCTGCTCATACATTAAGCTATAAGTACTTTAAGTATGTTTAGATGTATAACAAAACATAAAAGCATTTATTAACATAACTAGCCAAGAAATTCATTCATTTATAAACTAACCCATAAATTAATCCAAAGCTTTACAAATGATAAAATTTTGTATCTGAAATTATAATGTTTTTAATGCTTGATTCAACAATTGCTGAAAACCCACTACTTTGTGACAAATAATACACCATATGATGAAATTAATATTTGTATGTGAAATTATTTTATGTGTATTTGCAATTACAAAAACTTGAAGTTAAACCTGGTACATAATTAATGTTTGAGAAATAATTTATTCATTTCTCATTGAGCAAGGACACTGTATTAGCATAGGAAAGGCATTTTTTTTATCCACCATGTTGCTTGCAAGGTACTGTTATTTTTCTATCAAATGAATCAATATTTTTATATTATTGATCTAATGATCATATGATGATGAATCATGTATGTGACGTCTGCTATGTGTCACACTGACATTTCTTTTAATAAAGGTGTATACCTCAACTTATGTCACAATTTTAATCAAAATAATTTTTGTTTAAAGTTGTATACCTTGAATTATGTCAGTGATATTGCCTGCTTCAGTTCAAATATTCTTTAGTGTATGTCCTAAATTATAATATGTCTAATTTACAGTTGTCATTGTGATATATTCAGTTCAAATATTCTTGTAAAAAGAGCATGCGGTGACTTGTATATATTTTCCTGTTATAAATGGTATCAAAAATGAACCTGATAACATTATCTTAAATATAATAGTAAAAGTACACTTGAATTCAAGCAGTAAAGTAAAGGAGAATTTAGCCAAAAAAGTGAATAATGAAGGCAATATGCTTTTTTCAAATGAATTTATTAGTAAAATATTGTAAAGTGAACAAAGATGTTTATTTTGCACATTGTAAATTACCAAAAGAGGTCAAAATATGCAAAATTAGCCCTTATTGTGTTAGTAACACAGTATGTTGATAAACACTGCAAAACAAATTAATAACGTTAATATGTATACTTTTAAACACTTGATTCTTGTTTAATATATATGATAAAACATCAGTCATTCAAGTGAATATTAATGGTAAGGAAATTTTGCATGAAGAGTAATTTTTCACAACAAACCATTCTATCTGAAGCTTGGAACCAGCATAGTAATACATGGGCTTGGGACCAACATTATATCCCCCTCTATTATTGTTCTGTGAATCAAACAGTCTGAAAGTATAATATGCAAAATACATATTACATGTATATATAAATAAATAATGTGATCACAATAATCATATTACAGTATTATTTGTTCCAGGGTTGATTTGCATTAATATTATTATATTTAAAGTATTTGTTAGTATACCCACTTTGAAAGAAATATTTTTGAATATTAGCCAATTTAACTTATTACATTAATTAAGTAAAACAAAAATGTTTTCTGCTCTTTGTACAGTATATGTGAGGCAAAAAAATACAACATTTCAGTTTATTAAGTTTATCTGTCAGAATATAATGGATAAGTTAATTCAGCAGTCTAGATTAATAATTAAAGTTATGCAAAAAGTTCTGAACAATCATCCCTTAAGTCACAACAATGTAAAAAATCCAAGATCTGTATTCTTGTATCAAGTGATTAAAGTGAATAAGTGTGCTGATGCTTTTTTTTAACCTTTTGATAATCATTACATACTTTGACCAGTACAATTTTCAATGAACAAAAAAGATGAATTTACAATCAAATGTTGAATGATATCCAGTAATCTTAAAGAATTTGGATGAAAGAAAATAAATTTTGTTATGAAAAGAAAAATAAAACTTGCTGCTAAAAACATCTTTATGATCCTTTTATTCAATATTACTAAGTCTTTTTTTGTTTGTTTTACATATAATTTATGTATTCAACCTGCGAAGAAAAATTCTTTTACTTTCCACATCAATTCGCCAGATTTATTTAATAAGATGTAAAGTATCTTCAACAATTATGGACAGGCCAGATATATACATCATTATAATATTGCACATTTGTATGGATAGTTGTGATGTTAATATAGTTTTATATACATGACTGCTGTCAATTTTCTAAGAAATCTTACTTTTTTCTCAAAAAAAGGAAGTTTGCGCATTATAAATTCATTATAAATATTCCTAACAGGTAAAGATTATAAATTATGAGCGTATATAAATGGTTGTTTGCAATACATAACCCCAGCCGCTATAAAACCCTCGCCTAGCGGCTCTGGTTATATTTCCAAACAACCATTTATAGGGCCATATAACCTGTCAAAAATATTTATAACTAAGTCCGTAAGGGTAATATTATTCTGAGAAATTCAAACTGTTAAGGATTTTATTGCATTTAAATCAAATTATGCATTTTCTCATGTTTAAAATGATTATTATACATTAAAAGATTTTACAGTAATTTTAATGCTTGCATTTTTATCATTGCTAATTATTAACACTTTTTGATACTGTGAGGATTTTTGTTTTCTGCATATAATTGATAACGTTATAACAATAGAATAATAAACATGTCAAAAATCTGATGGAAGTATAAAACTTTTTGAATCTAATAGCTTGATTACGGTTGATAGTTGATAATTTTGTCTGTCTTTCTATCAAACCAGACATACACAGTTTAGTTATATTTAATATATAATTGAATTTTTCATTGGTAGTACAGGCATAATATTAATATCTTGTATTGTAACATTCCCCCTACTTTAGTGATCAATTTTTATCAGTCTTACTTATAGCTCTGAATGAACATCATTACAAACCTAAAGAAAACTTTATTCAATGAAGTTAGATGCCAGCTAAATAGACGTAAGCTAATATAGAATTTATTTTAACTCTTAGCTTATACAGACACACACACAAACACTTGATTATATAGCTTGTTAGTGTTGGCAATATTTGATATATTAATCATTATTTCTTTGTTGCTTTATTTCTACATAAAAAACTTTCAATATAAATTGCATATCAACATATAAGGAATTAACTAGACATTATGATATCATAATTATATATTACATCAATCAGTTTAGTTAAACAGCAATTTATTGATTATGTACATGAAAAAATACACATAAAATAGACCAATAGAACAAAAGCTAAATGACTAGGCTTGCATGTGTGCCACATGACTTATGAAATCTGACAAGTTACCCACAAATTGAAGCATCATGTGTGCCACATAACTTAAGAAATCTGACAAGTTACCCAGAAATTGAAGCATCATGTGTGCCACATGACTTATGAAATCTGACAAGTTACCCAGAAATTGAAGCATCATGTGTGCCACATGACTTAAGAAATCTGACAAGTTACCCAGAAATTGAAGCATCATGTGACTGTGCCATGTGACTTATGAAATCTGACAAGTTACCAACAAATTGAAGCATCATGCAGAGAAGAAATCACATTGAAATCAGCCACTTTTTTATGGATAATGCACTCATAAAACATTTTTAATTTTTTTAACATGAATCATGATTAAATAGTTTACTTGATAGGTACCATGCTAAATCTTAGATGAAATTAATTTATCAATTAGATTATTATATTATTATTTTCATGTCAATGTTGAAACAATTATACAATAAAGAATAGAGCAGATTTAAAATATTTTCTAAATTTTATTTTCATTGTGCACTACAATATTTGTATTTTATCAATAAATGTTAAAAATAAAATATTATAATATAAACAGGAACTAATAGACTTACCTGTTTGCATTTTTTCTGGCACGTGTATTTTCATTCAGCCTATTATTTGACCCCCTGCAAATTAAAACAAAAGCAAGATCCTATATCACATGATAGAAATAATTATTCATGCTCTAAATAAACAAGTCCTTGCTGCTGTCAGCTGTAATGGGTACTATAAAACACAACCATATTTAAGTATTATTAACCAGAAACAATACTCTTTAATATCATTGTGTTAAAAGCTCAGCATCATACCAAATAACATTGTTTCTAAACTACTGTCTTATTTCTTACGACTTGATTCAGCACAATATCGAAAATATATGTTGACAGATATTTTAATATTTCAAACTAAAGTACCCAAGCTGCACTAGGGTATGTGGCAGCTCCTTCTGAATGTTGTTTCACCATTTCAGTATCTTAAACCATGTAAACCTTTAAATTGTAAAACATTTAAAATTTTCCTGTACAAAAATATATTCAGTAAAGTCAGATAGGCCATCATTGGGTTAATTATTGATGAAGCAGGTATATAATCTTGAACGTTAAGTATATTAATAAAGTTTCTGTATTCTGTTTACATTCTAAAATATTTATATTATTTTATCATTAAAACATTACCTGACATTATGTAGATATATATCTGCACTAACAACTGTAAAAGTGACCAAGAAGTAAAACGTTTTTCTCATTATGTATGTTTTCTCTCTACCAATGGATTATAAATCATGTATAATTCTATTCTAAATGTCACTATAATTTGGTCCCTGCTTATATTGAGAAATTATAACACTTGAAGTATATCCTAATTAATATACTGGTACGCATATAATGAATTTATATTTCCTTGTCTCCTCTCAATTTTTAAGAGCAGCTTACGATAGAAATCACACATTAGCATCTCCATATAGGGAAATCATCAATTTTAACATCAATAATCACGCACATCCAATCAAAGTTGCTCGTCAACAACCCGTCACACACACCTGAGTCACCACTCTTCCTGATTTGTTTACGGTGAACATACGATATAAAAATAGTGCTTTAATGTTTGATTATTCTAATTATCTTATAACCATGGAAGGTTTTTTATAAGCAAATGTTCTCAATACCATTTATTTTCATCCGCTAATGAAACATCTTTTATCTTCAAAGTGACTGTGTTTATGTCCGAAACAAATTTGAAAAGTAGTGCGTCATTACCTGGCGGAAGAATATCCTATGTAGTAGTTAAACTGAAAGTACAGTATATTGCTTCAGTAGAAACAATTTAACAAGAGATAAATAAACCAATTTATGAAAAAGAGAGAAAAAACAGTTTAGAGATAAACAATTGCAGAAAACTAAAGACGGTAAGTTATCAGAAATATATTTTAGCTTTACTATTTAGTTTGTACTTTCTGGTACCTGTATTTTGTCCTATATGATAACAGCTATGATCCATATATACTCGGTTCCTATGATATCAAGGGTTCTGTGATATCAAGGTATTTAAATTTTCTGCGACTGCTAGTAAAAGCAAGACATGATGATGCTAATATTTGTAAAACTTGCACACTAGATTCATTTTCATCTGCCAATAAATTTAATTTGGTGAATAATGAATTGTGTTTATAAAACCTTCATATTTGACTACCATTTTCCTTAATGTTTTTTTACACAGTTAATTAAAATATGTAATAAACACATATACTGACATATAGTCGGTTCATATAGTTTTAATTTTATAGCAAGTTAACTGTTGGAAGTTTTTCACAACTTAACCTGAAAGTTTTGAACAATCTATCCTTCCATACTTGCTTTTTTGGGTATTACCTTGATACCGTAGTAACCTCCTCTGAAATTACCCAAAATGGCAGACATTGAAAATATTCTAAAAAATGTCATTTTTATTGGTTCTTTTGAAATAATTTTTTGACAAATGGGTCTGGAAAAGGTTCAATTATAAGATGGAAGTAAAATCTCGTTCATTTATGATATTTATATTTAAATATTTTCCGAATATCATATCATAGAACCCCGGGCTATATTAAAATAATACATATAATTGATATTTCGTAATCGCAGTGCATTCAAAATAATTTGATTTTTAAAATGAAACAAAAAGGTACAAAAACAAAAATGAAAGGAAGGAAAGAAATAGAAATTTAGAAGAACAAAATATATTCAAACAAAAGACAAAGACAAAAAGGGAGAAAAAACAACCTCATCAATATAACATGGCAGAGCGTAGGGTTTGAACCTATCATGAGTTTAAATCATTAAAAGTTATTGTGACATTGATTTACCACCTGAGCCATTTTGATGGTATACATCTATTCTTTTTAGGATCAAACTGTTCATCCGTGCTGTTCTACAGAAATTAGAAACTTTGACGGGAGCAATAGCGACCGGAGAATGTTTCTTATTTCTGTAGAACAGCTACTTATTATTTAAGTATATAGTGCCAAACTTTATTTGGCCTCATTAATATTCACTTTATTATGTCACTGCCAGTCCGCGTTATTAAACAATTACCTGAATGGTGTTTTAAATTTGACCTTATAAATATGCATGATTTACGTCACTACGCAATGAAGTTGCGTTTCAGTTGGGAATATGGAGGACGGCATAATATGACTGAGTTTTCATTTGCTCGATATGGAAACGGTTTTCATTTGCTCGATATGGAAACGTTTATTTTCAACAAACATTTTTAATGAGTTAGACTATTGATACTCAGTAGCTAATATCTGATATGATTTATACATGAATACACTAAATGGCATGTGTTAACACGAGGTCACGAAACGTATTTTCCATAAAACATTATGCTGTGTTCTCACCGCCGATCAGATCAACTCGATCAAGCACGATCAAGCGATCGGGTACGGTCTAGCTCGGTCTGCATGATCGGGGATGGTCGGAGCAATCTATACCTTGGTCGGCATGGCTCGGTATTTTCCTACCCAAATTTTTTGACATGTCAAAAATATTCGAGTAACGATCGAGTAGATAAGTGGTCGAGAAGCGATTGTATAGTGATCGAGTAGAAGATCTAGTTGATCGAGAATAAATCATGTAACGATCTAGTTTGGTCGGGTATACATCTCTTACCCGATCTGTACACAATCATCTCGACTTCTACTCGAGCATTATCCTATCTGGTCGGGTGGAAATCTGGCAAAGATCAAGCAGAGGTCCAGTTAGTCTAGTTAAGATCGTGTATGACTCGCGTATAGGCCTGGGTGATCCAGAAGAAGTCGGGATGTTGGTCGAGTTGTGGTTGAGAAGAAGTCATAAAACATCGTGTAGGGTCGACTTGAGGAGGTTGTGTAGGAGTCGTGAATGTGTATTTAATCCAGCTTGGTCGGGCTTCATCGGGGAATTAATGTGATCGGGACGATCGAGTTGATCTGATCGGCGGTGAGAACATAGCATTATGTACTTTCACTTTCTGTCAACCAAAAAAAAAAGAAAGTGAATAGACACACGTGACTTTCCTCTTAATTACAAATTAATTTAAACATTTCTTACATTCGTAACAAAACGTATGAATTGACTTTATGTATAGGTTTTTACTTTTACACATGCAGTATCTTTTTCGCCAAGACGTGGATTTAAACCTGAACTGCATGTATATCCTTTATCAATACATGCAAAATGAATGTAGGTTAACCTTTTGACGTCATTTTTTATTAATTAATATTCAAAAGCGGTCCATGAAAGCGCATGTGCAAATTTATGCAAATGACTATTTTTACAAACGCGGTTCTATGAAGCACTATGAAAATAGTTTCGATATAGTATCGACTTTTGTTCTTCTATGAAAATTAACACAAAGAATTGTAAATAAATACAGCGTTTTTATTGAATGACAAATAAAGTTGGACACTAAATATAGTTGTTGACACTTCCAATCTGGGATAATATGCAGACTTGCCCTTTTAATGGACTGTCCCATGTACCGTTAAGACCAAATTATTATCCCAGGACAATAACATAATAAAATGTGTCATTCAATATAAAGTATAAATTTTGTAACATTTATATGATTGAAACATTAGATTAAAACATATGTTGTCTAATATATAATTATGGATACCATAGAATATGGGCTATCTTTGCAAAAAATAAGAAATAAGGTTTATTTTTAGCTCGACTTTTCTATGAAAAGGGGAGCTATCCTACTCGCCCCGGCGTCGGCGTTGGCGTCACACCTTGGTTAAGTTTTTCGTACCACCCCACTTTATTTCAGAAGTATTACAAGTATGGCTTTGAAACTTACCATACTTGTTCACCATCATAACCTCCATCTACAGACAAGAGTACATAACTCTGTCAAGGTTTTTGACAGAATTATGGCCCTTTTTTGACTTAGAAAGTGTATTGAGCTTGGTTAAGTTTTTTGTACCACCTCACTTTATTTCAAAACCATTGGAGGTATTGCTTTGAAACTGACCATACTTGTTTACCATCACGACCTTCATCAACAGACAAGAGGACATAACTCTGTCAAGGTTTTTTGACAGAATTATGCCCCTTTTTGACTTAGAAAATACATTGAATATGGGTAAAATCCACTTATTGCCTTAACCCTTTGAGATATTGCTTTGAAACTTTTAATGCTATTTCACATCATTACCCCCATCTGTACGCAAGAGAAGGTAACTCTGTCAAGGATTTGTTTTAAAAATTAAGGCCTTTTATCGACTTAGAATCTTGGTTAAGTTTTTACCAAGGTGTTCTGAGTGACGTAAAAATACCTTATTCTCTCAAAGTGGGTTTAATACTATTAAATTTATTTAAGGCTCAACTCAGTTTTTTTTTCTTTCTTACCAGCCCTCTTTTGACTTAAACATTTCAAACTTTGCTGCAGTGTTCAAGGGTATCACACAATTCAGTAAAATAATTCTTCACTAAATATCTTAATGCTCATGGCCATTGTTCACTTTAAAAATACAGAGATTCTTGTATTGCCTTTTACTGCAAAAACTTTTTTTATTGGCAAGCAATAAAAAAGTCGAGCGCGCTGTCTTACGGACAGCTCTTGTTCTACATTTTGCTAACTATGCGTGGAAATCTGTCTGTATCTTTTTTAATCTATATAACATGTAATTGTGTTCATAAGATACCAAAATATAATTTCAATGTCAGTTAGTTGAGACAATATTAACATAAATTTAGCAGGTGTTATCAATTTATTTCATAAATATATTAAATGTTTAAAATCATGTTTTAAATTAATTACTAAATTGTCTTGATTCCAGAGATAAAAATGAGAGAAAAAAATATAAGTTTACTACTATGTCATCTGGTTGGCATAGTTACAGTTGTCATGGGTGATCTGTACCTCCATGCCCCTAGAGGGTCAAATAACAGGCTCAATGAAAAATCTGCAAACAGAGCAAATGCAAACAGGCTATTTGATTCACAGGTAAAAATGCTAGACATATATATATTACACATACATTTGCATACATGTGAATTAACTCTCCCACCATCTGCAGCCTTATATTTTCAACAATTTTTCTTAAAATAAGTGGTATTTTCACAAATTAAAGAAATCTTCCTCTTTTTGATGTCAGAACTCCATTCTTTGTTTATAGCAAATTCTAAAATCTCCCTTTTTCTAAAGAAGAATTACCCACTTGATCATTGAAAAAAGTTCACATGTATGCATTTGTATGTTCTGATTTTGATCTGTTCAGGATTAAATTTTAATTTACAAAGTGTGCAATTTATTTAAATTAAGATGTGATAGAGCAGCTATTGTCTTCACATTACAAAATACTCCAAAACACCTATGATACTGTCAATTGGTGTCCTACAAACTTTGATTGGCTATTTAATCAGGCCACACTAGTTATTGATGGTTTATCTTTTTTAGAATAACAACAGAGGAGGTTATAATGTTGGTGATTTAACAGATGTACCTGCTGGGGAAAATGCTGCAAAACAGTATAATATGGTATGTGTATATACATTGGATATACATTTAGGTCATTATCTAATTATATTCAAACATGTACAGCTATTTGTACTGTACCTAATGTACTAATTGGTACAAAGCAATACTGTCATTTGTCACTTGCCCCACACTTGTATGTGTAAGTCTGGCTTAATGGGTGTTGTTCATCCATCTATCTGCCCACACTCACAGAAGAATACTTCAAAATGAGCATTGTTTCTACAAGCCCTAACGGCTAGAGAACAATGGAGTTAGTAGTATCGGGCTAGAACCTATGCACTACCTAATAGGGATAGGGGTGTGAGTGGCATCTAACTGTAAACTGAACAAAAGAGTTCATTCTGTAACAATAAGGGGCCATTATTTAAAACTCATAATATTCATAGTAATAGATGTATCAGACCTGCATAATCTGGGGTTCTTTTGTTATGACATCTTGAGAATGAAGATAAAAGTTGTAATATAAAGTATCATCATTGAACTATTTCACTACATGATATACTGTACTAGTTGCCTTCACTTTCATAAGGAATTTATAACTTCAGTACATGCTGGAGCAACGCCAATGACTGTATAAAAGATTTCATGATAAATTCACAATTTAAGTGACTGGGTCACACGATTCACAGTCCAAAGTATTGTCTCCTTGTTTATTAACCTGAGCTCTCACTGTTCTCTGTGTATAACTGCAAATCGGCTCTTACTCGGCAGTAATTAGTGTAGCCGCTATTTCATGAAGAAACCAGGGCTGATATTGAAATTTGTGATTGGCATATTTTAATTAGCCAGGTCAGGTGTTTCTAAAAAGGCTGATAACACTGTAGCAATGTGAGGATACATTCAAATTTATTACATAGATAATGCACGTACGTGGAGCTCAGCTCGCAGAGACAAATGTGAACACAGTAACTTTTTGATATCCTTTAAACTCTATGAAAAATGTCAATTATTAATTGCTGACTGTTTTATATTTTCTAGAAAAAGTTAGCAAAACATTATTTTGTTTCATATGACAGGAATGAATTGCATCAAAAATACTAGGTATTGTTGAAAACTCATTGTTTTACATGCCAGATTAAGTAATTGGACCCCATCCTTGTTTGTACGTGACTGCTGGGGAAAAATAATGTTATGCTTAATTAAAGAGGTGACACTTTCTATATTTTTATCTGATATCGAGTTGTAAGAGCCGATTTGCAGTTATATGGGTAAGAGTCCGATAAGACTCCCTACGGTCGTCTTAATACGAACTCTTATTTTACCCATACATAAATATTTCTTGTGATAAAATCAGACTGACTCACTGATAATATAAAGATTTAACAGGTCAAATTCAAGATTTACAAGTGTTTATTGTTTTTATCTGATTTATTATCTATTTATCTTTGCCCTGTCAGCATTCAGCATGAGGGAAACAAACACTTTAATAATAGGTGTACATAATTGACTGATAATGGTAACACTTGACTTTTTATTGTTGAAATGAAAAAATGCAGGTCATCTGTCATATACAATGTAATATGTCATTTATTTATCCATTAAGTCTAAACTTTTCTTTCTCTAACCATGTCGCAGATCCTTCAGCATATTCGGACTTGTATTGTATTCATCATTATGTAAAAATAACAATAGTGTTACATATTCAACTCAAATTTGGCATATGGATGTGTCAAAGGAATGCGCAGGTCAAGTCGGAATTTGGTCATGGTTCAATGATTTTTTGTAGAGTTATGCCCCTTTAACTTTGAAAAAAAGGAAATTTTCAGTTCCCATTAATTATCTCCCCAACATATTCATATGGATATCTCATAAGATTCGAATTTGGTTAGACCTAAAAAAAAAATTGTTTTGTTCGGGTCACCCGACCCTACCTAATAATATGCGCCGACCCTACCGTTTTTTTTTTTTCGTGTCCAAAAAAAAAATCCATGAAAATACCGTATTATTGAGGTACTCAATGAGCAGGGTGAAGGGCAATTCAGGCGAAAATTTCGCTGTGTATATTTCCATTTCGCTCTCCCAATTGATCAAAGAGAAGTCAACATCGCCGATAAAATCTTTATTCCCAAAGAGTAATTACTTGCCGATGTAAAGAGCAGAGATTGTATCCGCCCATATGACGACTGCTAATTATCATTATCCAATCAGAGCTTCGATATATACTACCCTTCTACCTGTATGCAAAGCGATAGACCGCCTACTCTTAACAGTAAATAATGAGAGCATCGGCCCGAAACGGGTATATTTTGCGAGTTTATTACGGGATTTGGCGATAATTATAGATTAATTTTTTCCGATCATCTAAACACGTGCAAATCTTCCCTAATTGTTATACACGCGGTGTTTAACCGAAGTAAAGGCGATGTGCAATGGGTTTTTCACGGCTATCACAAAACTGTTAGTCAATTGAAAATAATTAATTTCATTTGGATGATTTCAGTCCGTTAACATCAATTAAAAATTGTTATGTCGCTCACGTCATGGCTTGGGGTGAAATGCCCAAACCTAGCTGTAAAAAAAAGTTACTGATTCTGATACACCTTTATACACGCGAAAATTTAAGAAAGCCAATTCGCAAAAATCTTATGATTGGTATGTTGTAGACAGTGAGAGTGTTTTGCATTGTTATCTTTGTAGAAATGCCAAATTTGACACAGCTTGTACGCACGTGGGCACGACATCCTAAAACTACGAATCATGATCGGCATGCGACATATCGGTCGTATATCATGTGCTCATGTAAATAACAACAAAAATTGTCAGGAAAGAAGTGTTCTTATTGTTTCAATATATATATATTTGTTTTAATGTCATAAATATGACACTCGGATTAAGATTTATTAATATTGTAAATTTCAAAAAGCATTATTTATAAAGATATTACCGAGTTTAACATTTCATGAAAATAAAGGGAGGTAATTAGAAATTTATTTTCTATAATTTCTCAGTCGAATTTTTCAATAAGAAATGAATGTATATAATTTTAGTGATCAAATATAATGTGCACAAATGTTTACAGTACATATTTTACATATTCTTCGATATTTGAAAATTGTTTTATAAGCATAATTATATGCACATAAATCTGACATTACAACATAGTAGATCATAAAAGAAATTTCTGTAAACAGAACAGGATAGACAGATTTTATTAATCATTATCCAATGTATCTTCTGTTAAAAGTGAGGAAAGTAAAAATATAAAGTTAATTTATTCATCATAAGTTTCTTACACATTACTATCAAAAATATATGAGATAGCTTATAAATAGCTGATAAATAGATAGATTGTGTTTCTATTCTAGTTAAAGGATGTATAGCCATGCATGTTAATGCATACAAATTGGGATGTTTCCCTTCTGCCGATTTTTCAAGGAAGTCACATCTCCCTAAAATTTCCCCCCAGGATGAGCCCTGGGTACGGTACAGGTTTTATCGCCGCTCTTAGTTACAAAATGACGGATCACATCGGTCAATATTTGTAAAACGGGTGTGATCTTCACCAGAAGAACGCTGAGAGTTTAAGATTGTTACACCTGAAAATGTCTTTTGAAAAAACATAGAAGAAATGTATTTGTGCCACCCGGGAGGGATGTCAGAAATTACCATATCTAAATTTCAATATACTGGTGTGAAAAAAAAAAAAAAAAAAAAAAAAAAAAAAAAAAAAAAAAATCCGACCTACCCTACCTATTCCTTGAGAGCATGTTACCCTAACAAAACAATTTTTTTTTAGGCCTTATGGTACAGACTTATCTCTCTTGCACTTTGAAAAAAAATCAGAAATTTTAAGTTTCCATTCATTATCTCCCAAATGGTTGTACACATTCAACTTAAATTTGACATATAGATACATCTTAGGAATAAGCAGTTCAAGTTTGAATTTGGTCGTGGTTCAATGATTTTGGACAAACTTATCTTTCTTGAATGTTGGAAAAATTTTGAATTTTCAGTTTCAGCACTCATACTATTGTGGAACACAGCAGTCATATTTTTGTGGAAATGTATGTGGCCATTATTTTGGCTACAAATATGCAATATGCAATTTACAAAAGGTTAAGACTGAATAATTTCAGTGCCTTTAACATTGTATAAAAATGGTTTGTGTTAACATTGAATAGTTTTAAGGTCTTTGAACTTACAATGAAAAAAATAATTTGTGCAAACAAATTTGGAACTAAATATTATAACATCTGAAATTTTGGCTGCATGCGGGGGCATCCGTGGCATGATGACACATTTCTAGTTATTATTATTATCATTATTATTATTAATATTATTAGTCCCCTACCGGTTTAACCTGAGGGGACTTTAGGTTTACCCTCCATCCGTCTGTCTGTCAGTCAGTCCGTCCGTCCAGAAAACTGGATCCCGCGATAACGCAAAAAGTACTGAAAATATTTTTAAGAAATATGATATATGGATAAATTGCAGTAAGGAGATTATGCATGTCTTTTTCTTTTCTTCCTATGTTGAAAATTCTTGTTGCTATGGCAACAAATAGACTGAATTTCAAGATTCTGATTTGAATTTTTCACTTTTTCACTATAAGTTCTTTATTTCTTAAGGTGTTTACTTCAAACTTTATATATAAGTTTCTGGTCATCAACCATATCATATGTGAAGGTTTACAACTCTAGCACAAAAAATTATCAGAATTACCTCCCTTGAACTTAGAATTTTTATGAAAAAAATGTTGTCTTTTTTAAATAACTTCTTTATTTCTTAATGTATCTACTTCAAACTTCATATATAAATTATGTTTCTTATTATCACTCAACATTTGTGAGAAGGTTAAATACTCTAGCAAGACTATTTCTAGAATTATGTCCCCCTTGAACTTAGATTTTTTTCGAGAAGTTGGTATTATTTACTCCAAATTCTTCATCTTTATAGGATTTACTTTAAATCCCACATCATTATAATATGACAAGATTTATAAATCTAGATCCATATTTCCAGAGTAATCTCCTCCTTAAACTATGAATTTTTCTTATTCA